AACAGAAGTTATCTCAGGACACACACTATTCATTTACCACTACTTTAATTACTAACATTACAGTACCACAACACAAAAGAGTGGCATCATACAAATATAATATAAAGATTCCAGACTTGATTTTAAGTTCACACAATCATACATTATTGTCAATATATCTTGGCACCCCCTTTTTCCTCTGAATGCCATAGAGGTCATAAATATTCAAGTACACTAGGTGAAAATAATTTAGCACATGCATAGAATTGCATGGTTTTTGCTCAAAACTGCATGGGATTAGCAGAAAGTGGGCATGTATGCAAACAAGAGACTCTTAGGTACCGATAGAACCCATTTTCATTCAGATAGCCTGAGGTCAGAGGTCGAAGGTTTTTTCTTTTTTGGGGGGCAAAATTTAGCCTAGATTTGGAGCGTTATTTAGGCCCCTCCCTGACAAGTAAGAAAGCATGACATGGTTGGCATTTGGTTTCATATAATACCAGTATCTTCACTCTAGCTTTAAAACAGAGCCTGCTACAGCCTCTGAAAGACAATGCGGAGTGGAAGAGGTAAGGATAATGGGTGGCACTTGAGGTGGCCTCTGGACACACCCCTGCACTATTACCAAACCATCATTACAATGAAACTGATAAAGAACGCTTCAGAGTGACTCCTACTCTGACTGAACAGCCAGTTGCTCTGCCCACTCACAAGGTGAATTAACTGACGAGTGTGTAACTAGCAGGAGGTCTGGGTGTCTACATCTAGTTTGTGTTTGAATCACTGGCCCCTCCAGGGGACGGGCGCTTTGCCTGGTGCTGGGCACGCCAGACTGGAGAGCACGGCAGGAGGCAAAACACTGATTTTTAATTGATACATTAAACAGTCAAACAGATTGCACAACCTCAGGCCATGAACAAAACAGCATGCACAACTCCAGGCCCCAGGCAAGCAGAGAAGCACTATCTCTCTCTGTCATCTCCCTGTCCTTATTCTTAGACTTATTCTCATCTCCACAGGGATGCACTTATTTATGCTGTCTGGTTCAGCTCCTGAAAAACAGTCTGCACACAGACCTGTTTGTGGAGGTACTGCTGCTCCTGCAGCAGCACAAGAATGGGATCTATAGGCCCTGTTTCATGGAAACTGACTGTGTCTTTTATTTGGCTCCCTGATCTGAGCCAGAAGACAAACCTCAAATTGCATCATGTTCTTACGGTGTGTTTGTTTGTGTTTGTGTTTGTGTGTTTGTGTGATCAATATGATCTGCAGCTCCCACTCCAACTAATGTGCTTTAAATAGGAGAGTGCTTGTTGTTTGGGAGGACTAATTAAAATGATTTATGCTAGCCTTGCATGACATCACTGGAAGCCAAAGTACAGCCCACACGATAAAAAGCCAAATGAATTAATTTATTTGCCAGACACATATACTCTGTGAAGCTTGGCGAGCTGTGTAAGAGACAGCTTATCAATAATATTAAATTACAAGTGTACACCTATACTTCATCTGTTTATGCATTCTCTGAATATTGTAGGTGAAATCAAATTGGCTCTCATATAAGCTAAGGTCTATTTGAATTCAGGGGCATTTACTCCCTCAGTTATTTGTTTGTTCAGGTGAGATTGCCATTTAAACTCTGTTGGTACTGAGTAACCATATCCAGAAGACACAAAGACAGTTCTAAGGAAAACGTGTCCAAAAAAACAGCAAATGCTATGAAAAACAGAATATTGTCAACAATCACACTAACAGAGTGTAATAGTTAATTCTTGATCTTGAGATTTGGCAAAATAAATTTAGCTTTAAACCGCATTTCATGGCCTTCATCAGAGGATGGAGTAACCTCAGTGGTCTTTGAGTTCAGTTGTCACAACATGCCCTAAATATAGAGCTAGATAGATATCTAGATATCTAGATATATAGATCTGTAACATGTTAATTGTCAGCTGCACAAGCTAACTGCAGCAGTTAGTGGCAGTTATCTACTTTTCAGTCCATCAGGAAACTTCATAAATCACTTTGGTATCACTTCCGTAAAACTGGCCTATGTCTTTCTTGGAAGCTGTGTTCGGTCCCGGTCCAGCCATATTCACTGGGAGGTTCCTGAGCCTGATTCTGTTGCACACTAACAACAGCTACAGCCACAGTTAGTGCAGTGCAGCCGGAGGACATCAGAGGGAAAAGCAGAAAAAATATTTCCTCCATAAAATATAATCCAGTCTCACCAAAATAACTGATAAAGTATTGTTTTGTACAGTGATAATAAAGTTGTTATTGTACAGTGATAATAAAGTGGTGTTTTTGTACAGTTGTGTTTTTGTACTGTAATCAGTGAGGATCAGCCCCCAGAAACACTCCACTCCAGCAGAAAGCCATTCTCTTGCCGTGCTCAGTAGGAGGCAGGATTTGGGTATTAGCAAAATGAATGAGCCCGCCAACCAGCAATTTATATAATAATACTCCACACAATGACCACAGAAACCGACTATTTAAATTCTAATACAGTATATTAAAAACGAACCACTACTGTACAAATCAAAATATTGGAGATAGGAATGCCTGCACTGTAAACGATTTCCTTGTATATTTACAGTAAGTTACTGGCAGCACGGTTGCCAGCAAGTTGCTGTATTTTGCTTTACAATAAACTACTGTAATTGTACTGTAATGAAATTTACAGTATATAGAACAATACTGTATTACTACAAAACAGTATTTTACTGTATTTTTACTGTATTTGGTCTATTTCTACAGTATTTTATTATATTGTACTGTAATATCTGCAGTTATATTAATATTGATATCACTGCTATTTATTACTAATTATAATTATTATTATTATTACTAACAATGATAATATATATTTTAATTATATAATAATCTCAAATGTTACTAATATTGTAATATTATACTTCAGAATAACATTACAAATCAAAAGGCAACCAAACAATGTTCTTAATAAAAATATACATTACTATTACATTATCAATAATGTCATTAACATTATTCATTTTATTAACATTTTGTTACTGACAACATTCAGCCCAGAGAACAGTGCAAGTCCAATTTGTTGATTTCCTCCAACATATTTACAAATTACAAATTTATTTTTTTCAAATAACTTTTACATTTTAAAATGTATTTAACCACAGGCTTCTGGAGTTTTTTGATTACGAACCAAGCCCCCTAGCAATGCAGAAAAAAACACAGGCATGAAAACTTTTTTAATGCCCTAGGACAGTGGTTCCCAACCCAGTCCTCAAGTTACCCTGTTCTGTTCCAGCTCTACTCTTGCACATCTAATTAAGGTCTAATGCTGACTGGTTGAGCAACAGAAACAGATCAGGCCAGATCAGAACTTCAGGACTGGGTTAGGAACCACTGTCCTAGGAGAGGACTATATTAACCTTACAAATCCAACAACAACAATACCTTCACTAGATGAGCTATTAAAAGGTTCAGTTGGTAACTTTTAGAAAAAAATAACTTTTTGTCATATTTGCTGAAACTGTCACTATATCCTGACAGTACTATATGAATCAGTCTAATCTGTGAAAAAATATTTCAGCAAATATGACAAATGTTATTTTTATAAAAGTTACCTACTGAACCTTTAATGAAGGGCATGTGGGTGGTGTCCAACAGGCCACTGGCTGCCTACCACTGGCCCTCAGTTTGAAGTCCTCCATTCAAACTCCATCAAGGACCGAATGAAGCTGTTGACATGCGGGTTGATGGCCATTACCTTCCTGTGAACCACCCTCCCAGTCTTCTTGCTCACTCCCTGTCTGGCAGAGCATTTCTTGCCATCCTCAGGGTTGATCCTGACCAGAAACCTGTAAGCAATATCAAACAGTCAATAAATAGTGTTTTATAAAGAAGACTTAAGTGCACTCAGCCCAGTCTCAAATTTCTCCCTGTTCCTGCAACTTTTAGCTCCAACCTCTACTGTGGCCACACCTGATTTGTAGGGCGGCTCGGTGGCTCAGAGGCAGGAGCGCGCCGTCCGCTCCCCAATCGGAAAGGTTGCTTGGTTTCCCGGATCCCCCCGGCTCCTCCCTGGCACGTGTCGAAGTGTCCTTGAGCAAGATACTGAACACCAACATTGCTCGCTGATGCATAGCGATCAGTGTGTGGATGTGTATGATGTGTTAGCTTTCTGTTCGAGTGGACTGTTGGCCACTCGCTGTGTGGGGAGAAGCGTGAATGTGCAACGTCAGTGTAAAAGCGCTTTTGAAGTGGCTCAGAAGACTAGAAAGGGCGCTATACAAGTACAGGCTCCCATTTACCATTGTACCATTTACCCATTTAATTTATAATACAGAAGTGTAACGCAGAAAAGAAATTCACTTGCTGCTGAACCAAAGCATCCAATGGTTCATGCAGCCAGTCTCCTGGTACTCCACGTTGAAAACGTAAGTAAAGGCTTGCAAATAGACACGGCGAAGCAGCCTAAAAGTTATCAACCTCCTGTCCCAAGCCCATCATGGCGACATCTTCCTTCCATGGACAGCATCCACCTGGATGCTGTCCATTTGATTGAATGTCCTGAAAATGAAAGGACAAATTGTTACTCAATTACCTACAATATGTTATTCTGAAAGCAACCTTGTTATGTCAATAAAGTCCATGGACGACTCTGCACCAGCAAAATGAACTTCACTGCATTCTTAATGGTACCATTTGCATATTACTGTTTCTACATATTCATTATTACAACAGTAAAGTTCATACAAAATTCACACACACACTTATGGATGGCACAGGGTCCAGGTCTTCAATCCATCCATAAGTGAACACACATTCCTCACTATACTCTGAGATTTTCTGAGATTGAATCAATCCCACACCCTGAAATCCATAGAGATCTGGTATCAGAGTTTGTTGGCTAAAAAGGCATAATAACTACAATTTTGAATGGCAAAATAATGTTCAAAATAGCTATAGCTACAACATGAATATGACATCTGAGCAGCACAAGATATGAAATATTGATCAAATATTGTCAGTGATAAAATTTAGCTCTCATGAAACAAGGGGTGCACTTACTTTTACACAGCCTATTTTTCATTTATTTGAATTTTCTATCTTCATAAAGATATCTAGAATTTTGCCATTGTGCAAAAACTCAAGGGGTCTACCATCTTTTTAACGGCACTGTAGGCAAAACGAACAATGGATGTGTTTGAGATAGAACAATACTTACATCGGCCAGCATGAACAGGGAGTCCGTCGCCTCCCTGAAGTAGGCCATCAAGAGCAGGACAACTGAAGTCGCCATCAAATCTTGATCTTGTAGTGTCCTTGAGTCGTTCTCCATCTCGGTCAGCAGCAACTGAATCTCCCCTCTCCACTTCAACTTCTGATGCTGGAAGTAGTTGATGACTCGCCTGCCTTTATTCTGCAGTGCCTCGGTCAGTCTTGAGATAATGTCAATCCCAGTCAGCTTTTCAAAGTGAGAACAGAGCCATCTTTTCTGGAAAAGAAAGGGCCACTCTTGCATAACATCACTGACTCTGAAAGGAGGACTGAAGTTGATGAGTTGCTGCTGCTTTAGGTACGTTATGTGCATAAGGTCATCAACCATCCCCCTCTCTGCCCCTCTGGGTCCTTCCTTCCTGTACAGCGTGACCAACATCTGTCTCTTGACCTCAAGAGAATCTACTGTCTCTCCTTCAGGCAGGTTATGAGGCTGCCAGTTGATGCATCCATAACTGTCCACTTGACTGCAGGTATTTTTGGGCTGGGACTGGGAGGCATCACCATCATTCTTGTTTGTCCTCTTTGGTCTTCGAATTCTAGAGAGAGTGTTGTTCCTGTTGACATGTTGCACTCTTGTTTTGATATGATTCAGGAGGGAAGTGTAACCAGAACCCAAGAGGTCTCCCTCATCTGTGACATCAGCAAAAGTTTTGGGATATTGAGCAACAACATTCTTGGCTATCTGAGTACATTCACCCCAACACTGTTTATAACTTAGCTAAGCTTGTGGCGAGTACATAACAAAATGCATTGAAATACGCATTCAGCTGATTTTGACTGTTATCTTTAACTTTTTACAAAATTGGACAAACCTCTCCTCTGAAAGGCATCTATAAGTTTGCGGCTCTGTATGGGTGTCAGGATGTCCTGGATGTCATCCTCCTTCACATAACTCAGATCTGCAACTTCTTCTATTCCAACAACCAAAAGCAGTCGCTCAACCAGTGACCTCAGCCGATCCTCATCCAGCCTTGGGAGTGCTGCTGCGATTGCGTCCATAATTGTTTCAGGCATTGTCCAATCAGGTGCACTCTGCTTTGATCAAGTAAAATCAATACAATTTTCCCAAACACAATTCCACTGTCACCATCTGCCACTGCCACAACCAGCCTCTTAGAATATTTAGTATTCTTGTACACTACAGCAGACAACTCTGTAGTGTTTTTCCTGTTGGCCAACGTCCTGCTGAGCGCCTGCTGAATTCCGTGACTGTAGAGCTTCTCTTCAAAGTTGCTTGCTAGTCCTACCACTTGAATGTTTGGGAAAAACAGCTGCCCTGTGCTTAAGTAAGCCTGCAATAATTGGTGCCTTTCTACCAGTGAGCTGCACAAATTTTTGAAGTTGCGCAGTCTCCTTGCACACTGTTTGTGATAGCAATGCTTGCTTTCAAACCATAGGGTCCACAGTCGAATTAGAGGGCCAAAATGTAGAATGAGGTCTGGATAGTGCACTAAATAGTGATGTTTGGCTTTTAGCGAAGAGTCAGGGAACATGGTACTTCTGAAGTGTATATATTCTTTAATGAGAATCTTTAAGTACGCAATCTGGCCATGGCTGATTTTTGGTGCACAAATCAGCTCGACTATTTCCCTCAGTTTTAGGCACAGTTGCCAAACTTGGTTGTCAACTGGATTCTTAATACGATCCCCAATGTAAAGAGGAAGCAATCGTAAAAAGCACCAGTTCTGTGCTGCATGACCCCCAAGTTTCTCCCCCTTTTCCTTAACTTCACATGGCCTGTTGTTTGAATCACTACCTGAATATGTGAACTGTGAAATGCACCTGTTTAATTGGACATATGTAAAGTGTTTCTCAACATTTACAAGATGGCTAATGTACATTGCCAAGTCATATGAGACTACCCCCTCAAACAGGTCATGGCCCAAACAAGGAGGGAGACCTGGACGACACACATTAAAGTGTTTCAGGTTATTGAAAACAGAATCAAATTTGATTCCATTGACCATAGCTTGGTCACCACCGAGTTGCTCAACACTC